GCAATCAGACTCCAGAGCCCATATGCTTGCCTATATTGCCTCCAGTGCAAATTGTTAAGATTTGTGTGATGACTATACACATAATCAAGTGTTGTTATTTTATTTTGAAAATAATTCCAGAAAACTTTTAGGGCACCAATGCACTGTTTAATTAAAACTACAGTCAGTTCAACAATACCTCTCTGAATTTCTATCATAGTGGATATATATGCCTTCTGGGGCCTACGTCCCCCTCAGGAATAACACACTAATTTTATTTTGGGATACCACTCACCCTCATTTATTTGATTAAGATGAAATGATATCTTTTCCATCTCCTGTTTTCCAGGAGTACACAGGTGACTCACGCCTGTTCTGTCATCATATTCCAACTCACTGACCATACGACTGGGTCACAGATGGGCCTGTGACCAAGTAAGTCCGTGAATTCGATTCAGCCTGGTAGTTAATAACATGCTGGTTGATTATTCCAAATCAAAAGAGTGAAAGAGTAAGAAGGGAAGTCATAGAGCAAAGAGGGGAACCTAGAGAGAGTAAAATCACTGAAAGCACTCTAAAGGGTTTCAGGAAGTGATGCATCAATATTATCAACTTGATAATTGGGCAATGTTTATGTTTTGAAGTTAACAACCAAAATACTTGGATAAAATATTCACTTTAAGCAACTGTAAGTTCAGTCATGATTGATTGTCCCCAGCAGGATTTGAATCTGTGTAAATAGGCATTTCATTGATTTTTTTTCAAAAGAGCAGATAGGTGAGCTCATTAATTTCTTTTTTAAATCAAAGATTTCCTTTTAGGGATTTTTTTCCTTCACTCAAGAAAATACTGAATGAGTCAGGGTGCTAATCTGTTTTGCTCTCATAATTCTATTTTCGTATTATAGAGATGTTTTTCAATGTGCTAATAATTGCCTAGTGGGTTGGTAGTGACTTATTTTTACTCATTTACAACTTTTTATCAGATCTGAGATAAGCATCAAGCATTGTACCAGAGGGAATGAGATTCAAAAGTGTCCCATCGCCTAGAATGTAAATGATCTATAGAGCTCCTGACTTAGAACGTGAGGGACGGTGGACACTTGGTATTGAATTACCTACAGAAATATTTGTATAGGATGTTAGGATCTTGAAATGAGATCATCCTGGGTTATCAGGATGGTTCCTAAATCCAAAGACAAGTGTGTCCTTACAACACATCATGTTTGGATGGAGGCAGAGAATTAAGTCACCTGAGACTTAATTCTCTGAGGGGAAGAGGGGAGGAGAGATTTTCTCCTTGAGCTGTGGGAAGGAGTGCAGACATCATGATTTTGCTGACATCCTGATTTTGGACTTCTGGCCTCCTAGAATGTTGAGAGATAAAATCTGTTGTTTTAAGCATTAAGTTTGTGGTAATTTATTGCAGCAGCCAAGGAAACTAATATGCTAGTTCATACAGATTACTTAATTAAGGATTCTTTTGGTGTTGTTTTGCTTCATAATAATTTGGAGAAACCAATATCTCTACCTCAACTGTTGCTTCCATCCAATGGAGACTTTTGTCTGTGTTTTGATGTTTGGTGAAAAGCCAAAGGTTAGCATTTCTTGATTATTATTATTATTTTTTTACCTACCATAGATGCCCAAGGAAGTACAACTGCTTCACAAATATGACATTTCTAAATAAAGTGGTTTCAATAGTGGTCTGGAGAGCCACACACTTTCTAAAAAAGTGGTACTGGTCCTGAAAGGATATTTCTACCTGGGCAAAGTCCCATTTACAGAGTTCCACATGTGTGCAGTTTTCTAGACCAGGGAGCCAGGAGACCTTGCTTCCAGCCCTATCATCTCTGTGGCACTTCAAGCAACTCACTTTCTCTTATTGCCTGATGTGCCATTCTGAGAGTGTGGTTAAATTAATTTTTAGATGCCTTTAAAGCAATCATTCACCCAAAGGAGAGTATGTCCACTCCCCTTTATTCTTTCTACTTCGCCCTGTTGGTTTTCCTCTTATCACTCAGCACTACTGGGAATTTTATGAATACTTGCTTATCTGCCTTCCTACCTCTCACTCTCTTAGTTGAAAGAACATAATAAAAGTGTATTTAGCACACTGTCTGGCACATAACATGCCCTCAATAGAAATGCAGTAAATAAGTAAACAAATAAATAAGTGAATATTTGAGCAGAAACCAAGAAAAGGGTCTATTTTCTTTGGTGTTGGAATCAGACTGAACCAGAAAATATTTTACCCCCACGTCAATATTATTAAATTTCGGGATCGAAGAATAAGTGGTCATTAGTTCACCTCTCCTCCCAGATGCATGAGTGCCCTCTTCAGCCTTCCTGACCAGATGACCAAGATGTTGGCTGAAGCATCTTTGATGACAGGAGACTCACTCCCTCACAACTTCTGGTCTTTTCTATTTCACTTTCTTTCCCCACTCCTCCCAATTATTGAAAGCTTTATGGTTAGCACTTCCTACACCTGCTGCAGCAGAGGTCTTGGAAGCCTAGGGGTC